GGCTGAGTATATCATTTACTCATTTATTGGAATGTATGCTGCACCCCTTATCCTTAAGTATCTCTGGGTGGCTCACATGCCCTATAACATGCCCTATGTCCTCTTCCCAGAGGGAAAAGACATGGGGTAGAGGAGTGTGGTCCCCAGTGGCCCACAACACCTTCAGAAATCAGATAATGTGAGGATCTCCCACCCATGTTACCAGTAGGGGGTGGGGTCCTACCTCAGCATCAGGGTGGGCTATGCTCCCTGAAATCTCATGGCCAATTGGAGGCTGGGTGGAGAAAGGGCTATCTGGTCCACCACTGGATTTTGCATGCATGTCCCTGGCATAGCAAACCTGCCATATTGCCACTTTGACATATCATCAGGTCATCCTTAACCTGTGTTGTTTCAGTCGAGTTAACAGCTTTTTTAGTCTTGGAATCATTGTCATTATGCCACTGCTAAAAGCATTATGAGTATCACAATAAATTAAAATATGTAGTTGTATTCATGGGTTCAAACTTTTTCAGTGCTTGGAAATTATGTCAGAAAATACATGATTTTGGAAATGTGAATTCAAAATTATTATACTGAGATTGTAGTTGTCATGTTAGTTTTACACTATATATGTATTGTATTAGCAAGTTGTAATCCACCCAGAAAACCTTTGTTACTGAATGATTAAAAATGTAAGGAATAAAGGATAAATAGTATAGTGGTTCATCGAGCACTTGGACAATCAAGTGACAGACAAACAAGTGAACCAGCCATTTGATTAGAATTACCATGGAATTTTAAGTTGCTTTCTGGTCTCTTAATGAAAGATCCTGGAAAGGCCCAACTAAATTATGAGAACAGAAAACAGTTGCACTGATTATTTCTGACTATTAAAAATTGAATTGCTTATCTTTCCCTTTAATAGTGAGTTTGGATTGTGTTGTGCTGATCAGGTTTGAACTGAAAGAGGACCATTCAAAATAAGGTGGTGATTGTTATATTACCCTAAATTCTGAAGAGTATACTGTTAAGAACTAGAAGGCAAGTCAGCTCCTAATTCCTATGAGCTCCCGGAAGCAGTAGAATGTTAAAGATACTGAAATAAGTACTGCTAGAGTCTCTTTTCTCATTGTGTAGCATATGAATACTGGGTTCACACTGAATGACATAGACAGAAACTATTATCTTTACAGGTGCCTTCTGTTTGGAATGTATGGAGGTGGATATTTCTGCCTGATTATAGCAATGTGCTTAAAATCGTGAATTTCTTGTGTTTCCCATCTGGACAGCTATTTCTTCCTGCCCTGGGGAAGAGGAAGTATTGGGTTTGTTTAACCAGGGTACCCCTAATGCATTAGGGTCAGGAGATATGCATTACAAACAACAACTACTACCCTACATCCTCTTTCCCAGCTACTCAGCAGCAAAGTGTTTATGCTAACTGGCAGGTAACCTCTTGCATGCATATTGTAGCATAGCAGAGGTAAGGTTTCATGTGGGAGGGAGAAGCATGCAGATAGTTTTTGGGAACCCCAAGTGTCTATATAAGGCTTCCTCTGCAATTTGTGTGGAATTCTGATCAGGAACATTACTGTTAAAGACTGAGAATACATTGCAATATTTTATAACAGGTTCCTTCATGTCACTTGTCTATTTCTGTTAAGCTTAGGATTATTTTACTCATGCAGAATGAAAGAGACCCTACTCAAGAAAAATGAACAGCTGCCATAATTTCCCATAAAAGTGTAAGGAAAATTATGACCCATGTCCACAAGCAACCTTTAGATTCCATGAATTAAATTTTTGGCAGAGCCTAAAAAGAAAGTAGACCTTGTTATGACAAACCTGGAGTGATGTTCCCATCATTGTCTAATTAGCATTGTCATGCAGCTTCTTTAATAGCAAGCTTTAAATATGCACTTTACACATACTTTGGTACTGAATAGGAGGAACTAATTAAAAACCCTGGAAAGCTGGATCAAGAAAGTGCAATAGCAAGGTTTAAATACAACTAAACAATGCCTCAATGTGTTTTTGTTGTTCTTTGTGATCTCTGTACATCACACACATGGGCTCTAAGAGATTCCTTAGCTAAGCATTTTGGTGAGAATCCCACATTTATACACCACAAGGAAAGGGAGGTTGGGGTGATACAGAGATGTCCACTCGAAGAACCTTGGTTACAGGTAAGCAACCTTACTTTACTGCTACATTGCTTGCTAAATACATGATAATATTTCCTACATCTTTCCCCATCATGTGCCTTTTGATTTAGCAATTGTTTCTCAAGGCAAACCATTTACAATTGTACTGACAGGAGTGTCTTTATTTGGAAAGGTTTACAAGGTTATATATTTCCTTTACATAATGTATCTTTTAAAAATGTATTTTATTTGGTCAGTTGGTTTCACAAACCACATTTTGAGCATACAAAATTATTATTCATGAAAAATAAATACAAATCAATTATAATTAGCTGCCTGATACATGCTTTCTAAAGCAGAGTGCCTAATCAGCTAAGGAGGGAAGGAAGCATGTAGATTTGGCTTGATTGGAGGACATTTCAGTTGCTTGCTTCCAGGCAGCATCACAAATTTATTGGAAAGCTTATAAATAAAACAGGTAGTAATGTTATGGAAATAGGAAGCAGATGGAATGATTCCATATAGATTAGTTCCAATTGCCTATTACTGATGGTTAGTAAGCTGACACTTTATGAAATTTAGCAAAGAAAAAAAAATTCTTGGAGTTTTCTGCATTGTATAAGTACTTGAGTATTGCCACAAGCTAGTGACTATGCTGCCATATCTTGCATTGTTGTTGTTGTTGTCAGTCCCAAAGTCGTGTCCGACCCATCACAACCCCATGGACAACATTCCTTCAGGCCTTCCTGTCCTCCACCATCCCCCGGAGTCCACTTAAGCTCAGGCCGACTGCTTCAGTGACTCCATCTAGCCACCTCATTCTCTGCCGTCCCCTTCTTCTTTTGCCTTCAATTGTTCCCAGCATTAGGCTCTTCTCCAGTGAGTCCTTCCTTCTCATTAGGTGGCCAAAGTATTTGAGTTTCATTTCCAGTATCTGGCCTTCTAAAGAGCAGTCAGGGTTGATCTCCTCTAGGACTGACCGGTTTGATCTCCTTACAGTCCAAGGGACTTGCAAGAGTCTTCTCCAGCAGCACAATTCACAGGCTTCAATTCTTCGGCACTCAGCCTTCCTTATGGTCCAACTTTCACAGCCATACATTGCAACTGGGAAAACCATAGCCTTGACTATACACACTTTTGTTGGCAGGGTGATGTCTCTGCTTTTTAGTATGCTGTCTAGCTTTGCCATAGCTTTCCTCCCCAGGAGCAAGCGTCTTTTAATTTCTGGGCTGCAGTCCCCATCTGCAGTGATCTTGGAGCCCAGGAAAATAAAATCTGTCACTACCTCCATTTCTTCTCCATCTAATTGCCAGGAAGTGATAGGACCGGATGCCATGATCTTAGTTTTCTTAATGTTGAGTTTCAAGCCAACTTTTGTGTTCTCCTCCTTCACCCGCATCAGGAGGCTCTTTAGTTCCTCTTCACTTTCTCCACTTCATATCTGCAACCAAAATGATATAGTTGCAATGTAGAATGCTTAGTAGCTTGTAATAAGTCAGAACTACAAATAATGGGCTTTCTTATAACCTAATGACATCCAGGTTGCACTACTGTAACGCAGTGTACATGGGACTGCCTTCCTAGATATTCTGAGAACTTCTTCTTTTGGTGGAAGCAGGGTGATGATGTATTATGCATATATGGTGCCAGTAGCACTGGTTACTGATGCATTTCTAAACCCAAGTTCAAGTCGTGGTTTTGACCTTGAAAGCCTCGAACCCTTCATCTGTATCAGCCTGCCTGCAGTTTAAGATTAGCAGCAGATGCTCTTCCCAGTCATCCAACTGTGGCCACTTTGGTGACTGACCAAACCTTTCCTGCAATAGCTCCATGCTTAAGTATAACTTGCCATCAAGGATATGTCAAGTCCATGGTTGCAGGTGTTTATCCTGGGCTTACATTGATTGTTTTATTGGACTGGGCTGTAACTACAGTTTTATCTGGTAGGTTTCGTTTTCATGCTAGCATTTGAATTTTTTAGACTGTTGTTGTTGTTACTGCTTTTATTGGCATATTAGTTTTTATTATGTGAGTTTTATTGTTGCACGCTTTTTAACTGTATTTCTTACCACATTTTTTTAAATTATGTGAGTAAGGGCATTTGAGAGCTCCTCTCTCACAGGCAACCAACCAATTGTTTAAATAAATAAACCAGAACTTGGTAAATCAATTTTTAGGGGAAACACATATTTTTAAAAAATCACAAAGGGAGTGCCATACTGATAGAGATTGCAACTGAGACACTTTCATATAGATGCCATCTATGGTGCAGATGCTTGCCAAATACTGTAGCTCCTAACATAGTAGTGAGATTGTCATGCATTTGATTCCACCCCCCGCCCAGTCTTTTCATCTAGTAGACACAGAATGTCTACTTTCCATAGCTTGCTTCAGAGCATCTCTTTTGTGCAAAGCAAGTAACGCACAGTTAGACTTCTTAAAACTACTTTGCTACTAAAAGGAAAGGGGAAAATTCACATCACCTGTTGGTTTCTTGGAGTTTATGCTGCAACTTAACTTGGTAATTTCTCTCCCACCGCCCCCCACAAAAAGTTTTTGCACTATAGCATTTGCACTGATTACTGTCTTGTAAAGCAGGCAGGCCTATCTCCCACCACTAAAGGCCACATTGTGCCCAAAGTGGAAGGTCTGAGTACTATGCTGTGCTGTCTTCATGACATCTATATAGCTTAGTATGGATTAATATTAATATTTCCCCACCTTCAAACAGTATAGTAAAATATGTAAAAATTTAAATGTTTCTATGTTAAAAAGAAAATTCAAGAAAGCAACCAGCATATAATCTTAAACAGGTTTAACTCTTTTAACATTTTAGAAGGAAGTGGATGGGATAATCATACTTCTGTTTTTCAGGCAAAAACTTTTCCTCCTGAATGAAAAAAATCCAGTTATCCTGAATACTTATTTCAGTCAGAAGGTTGTTGCTAAAGAACCAACAGAGAAAGAGAGACCAGATTTTCAAGAACCATTATTTACTAAAAGAAGCATATCTTTGGCCTGGATATTCCATTTATCTGCCATAAAGGACAGTTCCCCTCAAGTGTCTGCAATTAATCAGGTAAAGTTTATTTTATGGTTTAACACTTCAGAGCAAATTATTAAATGGATATTTTGAAACAATGCATACAAGGATGCTCATATGCTCTCAGTAGTCTTCCTTTATGTTGTACAATTTTGAATATTTGATAGCGAATGCTCAGCATGGCATTTTACAAGCAAGATTTTTGTTTTATATATGTTCAAATACTTAGTTTCTGTGTGAATTTGCAGTAGCCATATTACTGTGCTGGATAGCATCACTACCTTCTGTTGAGAAGTTTACTGTTCATCTTGTCTGCAGCTCAGCTGCATAAAATTACCAACTGTTCTAAAAGAACACATTTTGAAAAAATACAGAGCTGCAGCTAGAAATAGTAGCTCTATGGTGTTTCCATCCTTCCTGTCTACAACTTACTTTGTGGTTTGTTTCTCTGTGTATTTCCTTTCTACAGAATGTTCATAAGAGCTTGGAGTAAACTCCATGTTTCTTACATTGAATAAAGTTAGTCCTAATATGCGTGCATTTAATTTCTCTACCTCATCTTGGAACCCTCTATACCCTTTTTATGAAACATAAAGGATTATTGTAAAATATGCATAGTTGATGAAAGTGATTGATGATATCCTTTATGTGATATCCTCTGGATGGTTCTTTGCAGTTAAGAATATTAATGCACCTATTGTTTTCAAGTAGTAATAGAAACTTGAGTTAAAAATAATAAAGCCATACATCTTTGGCACTTACCAAGTATAGATCCTGACTTTGATTCATTGATCAAACATACCTTGGTTTCATCAAGGCTATACTGATGCAATGTATTTTACATAGGATTGCCTTGAAATTCAAACCTGCAACTAGTACAGTACATGATGGCCAAAATATTGGTTGTTGCTCAACAATTTTATACTGATTATGTAACAAATGCACTCAATTGAAAGTGCTTGTGTCAACCTGTAAACTATTGTATGCATTTCTGTACAATGATATGGTTTATGGCTTTATTTTTATCAGACTTCCTGTCCCGATATGAAGACTTCCAAGACAGTTTACACTCATACCAACCAGGAGTCCAAATTATCCCCCTTCGCAGTGTCTTCCTTAAGTGAGTCGCTTCTTGACATTGTGGAGGCACAAGGAACAGCTGAAGGGAGAGCAATCCAGGTTCAAGTGGTTGTTCAAAGAGTGTACTATTTGATTGCTAAAGATTTAAGATGTCATCTTCAGGAAGATAACCTTTCCCAAAATACATCACCATTGTTAAATTCTGACCAGCCAAATATTAGGTGAGTAACTGAAACTGGCAAATTACTGCTTAAAGTAAGCATCAAAATAAGGAAAGTTGCAAGGTTGACTGTGCTAATTTAAGGGGTCCTGAAGGTTAGAATAATTCTGCTCTCTAGCTGGAAGTGAACTGTTCCTTGAAGCATTTTGGAAATGTTCAGTATGGATAGAGCACTGTATTCAGTACTAAGAGTCAATATCAGGGGTCTTAAATGAGTTGTGATGGCTGTATCTAATTCACTTTACCAGATTCATGTAACTATCCACTTGTGTATCGTAAATAACACTGGCGGACAAAGTACAGTAACAAAGGTTGAAGGCAGCCTTATGCTTACACCATGGTCCATCTCAGTATTTTTTTACCCTGACTCACAGCACCATTTTTCTGAACCATACCTTGTAAAATACCAGAGATTGAGGCTGGGAGTGTTGCACGTAAAACATACGCTCTACCAGTGAACTATCAATTGAGAGGCTCCTGATATAATTCTGCATGGATGACAAAATATTAAGTAATCAAATATTAATCAGTATCAAATAAATAGTGAGCCTGACTTAATAGTCTCTTTAAAATTCCTGTCCTTTAATTGGATGATATTTTACAAGTCTGGACATTTTCAGATTACAAAATAGGATTTGCAGTACCTTCATATTTCCCATGTTCTCAAACTGTCATTTCCCTTCTGAAATCTGAAAGTTTTTCCTTAACAGTGCTCTACATTTCTCTCAGTCTTCAGAATCTTTCCTGTGGAGTAGAGCAGTACTATTACTAACTTTTTTGAACAACACAATTGAGTCTTAAAGAACTTGGCTTGCCAAAGGTTTCTCTTTTAAGAGGCTTACATCCCAACTCCAAATCCCTTCTTTTGCCCATTATTTACAAAAAGAGTGTGATACTTGATCCAAGGTTGCATAGTAGCTCCATTCTCTTACTCACTCTCACCTCCTTCTGCGGTCAGATAGCAGTGGCTTAATTTCTATTTACCAAAAAGGAGTTAGATGAGGTATTTCAAAAGAGGCAGTCCATCAATCCCTGCAAGCTATAGCTGACTCATGAGACTAAAACAATTAGATGCTCTTGATAATTGGTAAATCAGCATAGATTATGTCTGTTATATGAGTGGACACCCCTGCTGGTGAAATATTGAACATAGTATTTTTATTCTTGTTTGGAAAATTCAACAGTGGCTGCAGGATTGGAAAAGGTCAGTTTACATTCCGATCCCAAAGAAGGGCAATGCCAAAGAATGTTCAGACTACCACACCATTGCACTCATTTCACATGCTAGCAAAGTTAGGCTCAAAATCCTACAAACTAGGCTCCAGCAGTATGTGGACCGAGAACTACCAGAAGTACAGGCAGGATTTCGAAGAGGGAGAGGAACTAGAGATCAAATTGCCAACATACGCTGGATCATGGAGAAAGCTAGGGAGTCCCAGAAAAACATCTACTTCTGCTTCATTGACTATGCTAAAGCCTTTGATTGTGTGGATCACAACAAATTGTGGCAAGTTCTTAAAGAGATGGGTGTACCAGACCATCTTATATGACTCTTGAGAAACCTATATGCGGGTTAAGAAGCAACAGCGAGAACTGGACACGGAACCACTGATTGGTTCAAAATTGAGAAGGAGTTCAGCAAGGCTGTATACTGTCGCCCTGCCTATTTAACTTCTATGCAGAGCACATCATGAGAAAAGTGGGGCTAGATGAATCACCAGTTAGAATTAAGATTGCTGGGAGAAATATCAACAGTCTCAGATATGCAGATGATACTATTCTAATGGCAGAAAGTGCAGAGGAACTGAAGAGCCTCTTGATGCGGGCGAAGGAGGAGAACACAAAAGTTGGCTTGAAACTCAACATTAAGAAAACTAAGACCATGGCATCCGGTCCTCCCACTTCCTGGCAAATAGATGGAGAAGAAATGGAGGTAGTGACAGATTTTATTTTCCTGGGCTCCAAGATCACTGCAGACGGGGACTGCAGCCAAGAAATTGAAATATACTTGCTCCTGGGGAGGAAAGCTATGGCAAATCTAGACAGCATACTAAAAAGCACAGACATCACCCTACCAACAGAAGTGTGTATAGTCAAGGCTATGGTTTTCCCAGTTGCAATGTATGGCTGTGAAAGTTGGACCATAAGGAAGGCTGAGCGCCAGAGGATTGAGGCCTTTGAATTGTGGTGCTGGAGGAGACTCCTGCAAGTCCCCTGGACTGCAAGGCGATCAAACCGGTCAGATCAACCCTGACTGCTCTTTAGAAGGCCAGATCCTGAAGATGAAACTCAAATACTTTGGCCACCTCATGAGAAGGAAGGACTCCCTGGAGAAAAGCTTAATGCTGGGAACAATAGATGGCAAAAGAGGAAGGGGGTGGCAGAGGATGAGGTGGCTAGATGGAGTCACTGAAGCAGTCGGCGTGAGCTTAAGTGGACTCCGGGGGATGGTGGAGGACAGGAAGGCCTGGAGGAATGTTGTCCATGGGGTCGTGATGGGTCGGACACAACTTCGTGACTAACAACAACAAACTAAATAAATATCCTTCTAGTGGGAATGATAATGTTTCAACATTTTCTAATGATTATCGAATTTTCACTTGTGCAGTATTAAGTTAACAGCATTAGGCATATCCTGAAGCATTCATAAACTTCTTGACAACTTTTGCTTTTTCTAATGCTGGACTATTTTATATCTGCTTACACAAGTGCTATTTATTTATCACAAGATCTGCCTTTGAGTAAAGGTAATGGGTCCAATACTAATGTTTCAAGGTAAGTGAATTAGACTTGAGGTCACTCCTTGTGTTTACCCTAAGAAAAACCCAAGCCTGAGTTACACAATATGAATTTATTATGGCTGAAGAGGGAGGAGCGGGAAAGGACACTTGTGGAAAATCTGTGTGCACAGATGTTAGCATCTGTCAAACCATTTTCTTTTGTGGGTAATTTTCATTCTGTTTACAGCATGCCATTCATTTTTTCCGCTAAATGTTTCTAAACAAAACATTCATGAACATAGGATTTTAAAGAATCTCTAATAGACCCAGGACAAATTTTTGTTCAAGTGCATGATAAACAGGAAACAGACAACCTAAATGTTCCTCACTTAACTCTATATTGTAGAAATGTTTGTTCCTTGCAAATGAAAAGGCTTTTTGATAATTAGTTTTATTGAGTTGTTTTGCATTTTTTCTTGTCATGTCTAAATACAATGTATTCATGGTTAATTTAATGCTGATTTCAAACTTCATCCTAAGGAAGGATTGTGTGTGTGTGGAGGGGTGGTGGTGATGAGGGAAATCAGTCACTGACATACTGGATGCATCAGACTGACCCTGAATGATTTGGGTTTATTATTTCCCTTCCAATTCCACTCTCCTTTTTGGAAGTCCAGCAAACTTAAATTGAATTCTGCCCCCACATTCCCCTCCCTCTCTCCCTCTCTCCCTCTCTCTCTCTCTCACACACACAGCAAGCCTACTTGAGGTCTGACCAAATATATGCATTTTAAATATTCTTTTTTTAGAAGGCTCATCAGTGGAGAATACAGGTTACATTATATATTTACTTTTATATATTAAGCCTTATTCTGCCCAAAGGACAGGTCTAATATCTGTCTGTTTGCCATAAAATTGGTTTAATCACAATTGATTTAACATTAGTATTGTGTATTTCACTTGTTCAACTTGTTTTGCATATATTATCGCAGCATTCCTTACAACATTCCAGGTAGATAGCTGAATTTGAGACAATAGTGCCTTATCTAAAGACATCCAGTGAATGATTTAGAGACCTTCTGGTTCCTAGCTCACATTCTGCACTGTGCTGCTTCTCAAGTTCAGCAAATGAAATAGTTCATATTTCTGTTCACACCTTGAGCATTTATAATTAACATGGAGCCAAGGAGGCAGCAGGTACTCTGTCGTCTGTCTAGAGCACTAAATGATATGATAATAGTCTCCTTCAGCAGCCAACCATCCAGATGGAGTATCTTTCAGAAACTTTCAGGATCAGGAAGAATGTAGGCTGAACTACTTGTAGTTTGCTCTTCCAGCAGTGGTGTGAGAAGTACAGAATCAGTGCTTGACTCACAGGGCACTTGTTTAAGGATGTAGTGTTTGACAAAGAGGAAATCATCCTGAGAGAGTGAAGGGAAGGTAGAGTTATTGAAGAATACAGACTGATTAAAAATTAACAAATTAGCAAACTGTGCTGATAGTGACTGTGCAAAAAAGTTGTTTGTTTATTTATTTAAACATTTATATGCCGCCTGTTGCACCATAGCATCTCTAGGCAGCTCACATAGACCTAAAGCATGCAATACTTCATTTGGAGTTCCTGAAAAATATTCTTATACCCTGCTTTTCTTTGTCTTGCAAGTACAGAAGTGCAGTAGATAAGTAAATTGATGATAAAATAGACCTCTGATCATTTTTGGATGCTCTGGAAATGAGTCTGTCTGTTTAGGACCATATACTTGTTTCTGGCCCTAGAACTTGATTACGTGGTCAGAGCTGCTTTCTCACACCTCCCAAATCTGCTTTGTGGAATAATAGTGTTAATCTACCATATAGATTATTAAGAAAATGTGAGGCATGGTATTTTAAGAGCTATCCTTTGAATACTAAGGGACAGTATATTCTCCTTTATAATTTTCTGCAGTAAACCCTAGATGCAAACTTCTGTGGAACAGGTAAAAAATATAATGTTCTTCCTGTGCATTATTGAATGATATATATAAGGAGCTTATCATAGGCAAGTTGTAAAGGTAACTTTCCCTGCCTAGAGCAAATATGTGCAATTCTAATTATTAGTAGTTCTTGCAGAAAAGAGTAATTTTCCAGCACCTGCTGTATGTCAAATATTCAAGTTGCCTTGCATAAAAATATGCAATATTTCCTTTTTTCAAATACTTATGATTTGAGTATTTGTAGGTTTGGATATTGTGCAAGCAAGAGGAATTCCACTGAACTATTAAGATCAATGTCTGAAAATACG